TGGTATCAACCTTTTTCCTTCATAAAACTTTGATTATGAAAATTAAGCATTTCGACAAATACACGTTTTACATATATTAAATAAAATTAAAGCATAAGACGTATTTCTAGACTAATTATTATTTCATTATCTAAATAGAAATTGTATAATCGTATAGTACAAATAAAAAGCGAGTGAAGTTTGGACCATTGTTAGGAATTTAAGTTTTCCATAGTGCTCAATATTTTACATCAGCCATAAGAATTAGTATTTACAAGATACATAATAATTTCATTCTTACGTGATATTTCGTTCATAGCATTAGGGGTAAGAATAGCATCACTAAGGCAGAGAGGGTGTTTTATTGTACATGATTATTATTAGTGCCCTAACAATAATTACTTTCACTAACGATAGATTAACAAGAGGGAATCAAGATTCTTCTGTGAAACGACACCTCCTCTTGACTCTTGACTCTTGACTCTAGGCTAGACAGTAGCTAAACGAGAAAAATAAGGCGAGATTTGTAAAAAGTAAACGCTTACTTACAACTATTATAGTCATCCTACTTATAAAATAATTAGACCTCTATGTGTTCGTTAACTCTAGCACATTGGTTCCGTCTGTGTACACTAGTGAATCAAACATTCTACGTTGCAAACTAGAGTCGCTCGCTTACATCTAAGTTTAGTGCTAAAATTATTAGGCTCATGAAATTAAGCCGTTAGTTTCGGTCCACGACATAGAGAATAATATCTAGTGATATATACTAATAAGCTTCCATCCGGGCCTGGCTGACGTCCTGGCTCCCGGCGTCTGATCGCCCAGACGTTCTACCCGCAACAGAGATAGGACCGTCGCACTAGTTTCGAACGACTCCGCATCAAATCGAATCAAAGTAAGCCGTTAGAATGTAGACCTCATATTGTCACGCGAACAAGTCATTTTGTAATGCGATGAGTTGTCATTTTATATATTTTATTAAACTGTCTATATATATATATATATATATATATATATATATATATATATATATAACACAGTACAAAGCACAAGATTCAAGGCATTACATCGAGTCGAGTTGTTGTCGTGTCGGTGCAGTGTGACAGCTTATAGTAGAGGTACACTTATCTATTCGCGCGTTATATTGTCGAAATATCCTGCCAAACCTAACTCCAACACGGCAAACTACGGAAAATAGACCAATCTCAACTAACATTATATAATTCTAATATACCTTTATTATTATATTTTTTAAATAATTCTTTCGATTCAAATGCAACTATCACTAATAAGATTTTTACTAATACTCAATTATATAAGCTTCCATTGAAATGTGATATAAGAAAATAAACGACTTAAGTATCTAGTATGGTAACTTTACCTACTACAGATCATAACGAATGCGGGTGTAGGGAAATGTGGGAAGATCAGATCGCTTATGTCTATTAAACGTAGCTCACTCGTGAAAGTTATTTACGCAGTTATAATATATTAGAAGTTCATTACAATCTATTCGATCTCAATCTCACATGACATAGCAACACACAGGACCCTGTGATAGCTGGTAAGCTCAACGTTTCTACATCCAAATGTTATGCCATATAATAAAACAATTCTATTTAATCCAGTCACTATATCGACGAGCCTCTAAAAACAATTTTTGCCAGTTAAACAAATCTCACGAAGACAGCCTCGTAACATCACTAATTCTAACTACACAACGTACGTAAGTCGAACTCAATTTGTACAAACTCTCGCAACAGCCGTATTAACGCTTTCATCGTTCATCATTTCTTCAACATTCACTCAATTGGAAAAAATCAGTCTGTAAAGGAGATCAGTTTCGTAACTGCTACAGCAAGCCAGGTACGGTGAGTAGATCATAATCGAAAACCCTACTCGTTGCTATCACATCGACATAAACCTTACGGAGGCAACATTCCGAATTTAATCTATCAACGCTGAAAATACCGAAGAAACCGACGTAGAAGACTTAGTGCTTATTATATTTCTGTTATCGACGTGAAAATACAGGCAATAATTCAGATTTTACTACCGAAACTTATATATTAAAGATATACCTACACCAAGCTAGTGATAATTTGAACAGTTGAAATGCTTGTACAACGATAATAAACCGTATTTTTATAGCTAAATAACTTTCTACTTAACTCAGAACGACGAACATGACGCATAAAGAATGCCTTACAGACTTTTATTATACTGGCTATTCAATCCAAAAGACAGTAAAATCAATTTTGCTTGAGTATCGTCTCTACATAGAGCATACTTTACAAAATAATTTTCGCTACAGTGAAAAGACTTACAGATCCGCTATGGTGTGTGCGCCTAAATTTAACATCATTACTACATTTAAATTGATTTACTCAAAATATGAGAAAATCTTACACGATACTACTGTTAAACAAGTAAAAAAGTAATTACATTAAATGTTTTTATTTTATTCTGTACTACCAAACATTGTAACTACTATTGCATTCATATACTAATAAATTGAATTGACTAATTCCACATCTTGTATATAAAACCATATTATATATCTTCTATATTATATTCCTTTTTAACACATAAAATATTAATACTGTCACATATACCCATGTATATAATTGAAACTTTTATTGCGAACAGTTATGAACGATGAAGCATACAGCCTGTTCCAATTTTATACAAATGTAAACAATCATTATGTAGACACTGTAATTTAGTGCTATAAATATTTAAATAATTCAAAACCAAATTATTAAAACAGAAACTTGTTCGACGATTTAATTAACTTTCGTTTGGAACCGTTACAAATATAATGGTTTACATTCGTATAAATTGGATGGAACAATTGTTATACTACTATAACATTAACAGATACGGAACTTAAATAATTTTTTTTATTTTCCACGGCTAACGCATAAACCGGTACAATAAACTTATGAGTTGCTGATCTGATGTCAATCAGACAATGGAATAATTGGCGCCACTTCATGTATCGTCGCCTTGAATAGTATTATTTGGTCTGTATTTTATTTTTATTGAGTTTTTCTTACAAACAAATGCAATAAAATTTAAACATGTAGCATTTAACAGGTATATTATTAGGTATATTAAACAACATCTGTTGCAGAAGTGACAACAGTTATAATGTTAGATGTGTAATAATAGAGTGGTAGCGCGTTTTAGGTACACGCAATTGGCATACAAAATTGATGATATTAAATATACGAGAATATCATGATATTGTTCCGAATTAAAACTTGTAAGCAAAAAAATGATATTTACTTTTAACCGATTTTTTGCGAACAACAGCGTTTAAGACATAAGTGATATTTTATTTTACAAATTTTTTTTTCTATATTTTTGACTCAAGATTTGTATGAGACGGCACACTAAACGCCTCGATATTGTTGTCCTAGTGATGCGTTTCGGTCTGAAGAATAAAAGAACCAGTATATTTATAGGCTGTGAGGCATCTCATAAGGATCTGTGGCTTTATGAAATATGTTCCACAATATGTCTCTAGGCTGCAATGACGGCTAATAATTTTCTGCTCACTAGATGTCGCTAGTTGATACTGAGGTAAAGTTTTTTGTTACACAATGTAATTTAATTGAGAAGTTGGTTTTTAATAAAAGCTTATCAGTTTCTAGTGTATTATATTAATATACAAAACAATACCTCAGTGGTTTGCTCTTTAATTTTTTGCACATTTTTAATTTTTTTTTAATTGTTCTACTTTTATGAATTTCTGTTGTTCGGTTTATTTATTTTTAATCTAATTAATATAAAATATAGCTAATAGTACAGAAAGAAACAATAACCTCTACATTTTCCGAACAAATTAACTTCCCCGCTATGAAATCTGTCAAATATTATACCTCACTCTCTAGTGGTGCCGCCCTGGTGGCAGAAAAAGTCGTGGATGCCCTTACCCTAAAGTGAGTCGTTTGTCAATATATTAATTTAAAAAAAAATCTTATAGTAATATATAATTGATTAGAACAGACTACTTTGTATTGTGAAATCAAACATAATTATAACTAAATATTATTCACAGAGGAGTTTTCATCGAATGTTGTATTACTATTCAGTAGTATATTTTATAGATTTACACTTTACAAAAATCCTTACAATAACATTTTCACGTCGATTATATTTAAGTACGGTTTGTTGCGCCCGTTGAGTGGTGTGTACGATAAATAATTTTGGCGCAGCAGTGGTCCGGAGCAAAGTTGAGGCCCTCTTATTTAGAATTCACGCTGTGATTGCTTTAGTTCGTTCTATAAACAATTTCATCAAGTATTAATCATTCGTATTTGATGTGACTTTAATGACGTATCGTAGATATGAATCACTAAAATTATTAAAAAAAAAGATTATACCTTTTGACTAGGATTATAAAGCTTATGTTAACACTGATATGTAACAATGCCTACAACGAATTGTACAAAAATACATTATTATTTGGATCAATGGAATACTTTATAAAATATATTGAACCTTTCATAGTTTGAATCACGTCACTTATAAAAAATACATACATATTACTTTGGGATTGTGGAATCCTTCAACTTATTGGATTTGGGACTAGGATTATTGGGTGTCAGTTTTATTAAAATATATGTATAATAACATATAAACCTTATTTTCCAAATTCTAAAAATAAATGCCGTTAAAGTCACATCTGTAGTGTTTGTTGAGAAAATTTATATTTTGTAGACTTGCGTTCATTAAATTTGACTTATTACATTACTTTAAGGTGGATTTTTCAGTCACCAAGAGGAATACGCGAAGTGCGTCCAAATTAAATTAAACAAGGTTGCATCCCTAAGTCTATACATATAAAATTTCTCCCAACAGCTGCCTCTTTCAAATCAAAACCTTGTCACTTGATAATCAACGTTGTCCTGGTTGAAGCAATGACAGCGCTCGCAGTAGTCTCAACTGTTGCCCCGGATTGATCGTTAATAACCCATGCCCGGGTAAACAGGGCATGCGCTGTGCCGGGATCACGTAGACGAGTAGTTGAGGCTCTTCCTTTGTAGAAACAGGTGAATCTCCGTGAAGGCAGGCCTCTCCAATTCGTCGCGTCGCCAACATTCGCACATAAGCTCGTACAAATCGCGGGGACAGCCCGGCGGGCGATCGATACACTCGAATATGCCGTCGTCTGCTTGCAAGTGCGACAGATTCTCTAGCACCTACATATTGAACAGATTATTTACATAACGATATATATATATATTTGACGATTATCAACAGAAAGGAAACACGTCCATTCAGGCAACTAAGCAATCAGATAAAAAATATGTGCGATAGAATTAAACAAGTGTCAACGACAACACTGGTTTTCAGTCTAGCCCTAAAGTCATTTCGATCGAGCTACTGTAATGACTCTTGTATACGTTGGCCCAGTGACTGGGCTAGTGAATGGTAATGCAAGAAGACCGAGTGTCAGGAACGCATTTGCACACTGACCAATCGTTTAACCTGCTCGCGATCCCAAGCAGATGGTAGCACCCAGCCATCTTCTCTATTGAAATTAGGATGTTCTTTGATTTCAATAGCCCCGCGAATCAAGAAATTGGTGTTATTTAGGTGTGTGGTCTATCAAATCTAATGTAGTGAGGGGGCGATCCTGTTACGTGTTCACAGACTGCTAAGTTCCAGGAGTGTCGATTCTTCACATCAGCTACGTGTTCTTTAACGTAAAGGTTTTATTGGTTTTTTAGTTTGTCCTATGTAAGAGAGACCACATTCACAAGCTTATACACTCCTGCATCTTGCAGAGTTATATTACAACTGATGGTAAAAACTTAATAACCAAATCTTAACTATGACATTGGAACGTCGAACACCTGTCCCTGTGACCATGGGTGCTGCAAAGTGCTCGAAACGTCAATCTGTCTTCTGTCAATCCTAGTCTAGAGTAAGTTTGGAACGTGCCGACTTGTACAATGGTAGTATAGTCATTTGAACTATTTTAAAATAATTAATTAAAATGCTATCTATATAAAACTATAAATGATTACCAACTGTAACGGATCGAAATCGATTTCTCTTCAAGAACCGATTTTTCAGTTGGAATGCCTAGTCCAATAAATGTGACAACTGTCAAAGGGTATTTCTTAGGTTTGGTAGAGTATAAAACGTGTAGTGACAGTGTACGAATATCCACTACCCTATATCATGCCGTGGGTATCATAAGGCTAAGGGGAAATAAAACGGGAGCTCAGCAGCATCTTCCTGATAACAGCTGGATTAAGAAAAACTGCAGTTGCTAACCCGCTTGCCTAGCGTGGCAAATATGGCAAATACTACCATACGGCAAATATCGTCAAATCTATAAGCGAGGCCTACATTCAGCAGTGGTATTTTGATAGAATGCAACAGTAATGGTATTACCACACACACTATACTATTTCTTCCAATAAAAGATAGAAAATGCACCTTCATTGCAGTTTTTTTTTAAATCTAACTTTATATGACACTTAAATGTGTTGTGTTACCATAAATTCAGTTATAATTGCTTTAACAAAATTATCACTTGATTGTAATTCAGTAAGCGTAAATTTTACGTGGTAGAGCCACGTTGCAGCTATATTATGGTTGTAGCACGAATGGGTCGGCTCGACCGAGGTAGGACTGTCACAGAATACCAGCGTTTATACGCTGCTACGAAACGTACGTATTGGTGAGTATAGAGAACCGAAGACCTGCAAATTACTGGAAATGAGGCTTTCCATCTCAGTCCTCAGGGGTGACAAAGTATCTGCATTTTGATTCTTAATCCAGGATAAATGTAGAGGTCTATGGGCCACAGCGTACACTTACCATCAAGTGGACTGTATGTATGCTCGTTTATCTCTCCTTATTCTATAAAAAAAGGTAAATAGTGATTAAGTTAGACCTTGTTATATTAAAAATATTACCTAGTGATCTTATGCAATGGCAAAATTATTTCTATTAAAATGTTACCTCTGTTTCGGTGAGATGTTCATACGGCCTCCGTCTGCACTGTGTGAATATTTCGTGCAGTGTGACAGCAAACGCCCACACGTCGCTCTTAGTGGTGTACTGTCCACAGAGCACCGACTCCCACGCAGCCCAGCGTAGCGGGAGTGGTATCCTGCCATCCACCTTGTAGTAGTCGCACGAGTACGCCTCGTTGTCCGTGCCGAAGTCGCTTATCTTGATCTGGTAGCCTTTACCGATCAAACAATTTCTGAAATAGACATTCATTTTTCAATTAATCATGTTAATCAAGCAAAAAGATAAACAAATAACTAGTAGCGAAATATATTGGCACAATACGTAACATATTTATTTTTTGAGCTAATGCCAAACTTTATCATTTTACTTTTAGATGGGTGGATTTCTAGGTAATAAGGAAAACATCTGAAAGATAAGTGTAAAGTAATGACTAAGCAAATAAGAATTGTTAAATGTATAAAAGTATTTTAATAACCTCAGTTGATTATAAAACAATTACAATTTTAGATTCAATTAAACACCTTTTACCAATAAACGTATAGAGCAATATTATTTTCTAGTTTGATAATAATATACATGTTATCTAGTTAACCCTGAAGTTAAAAATTTTTTTTATTCCTAGCGACCGCACCCAGGCCTTATCTGGGTGGGAACTATTAAAGTGGTGTCATTTAGATTTAACATCTACCGTTTATTTTATCAGTTTGTCGATTTTCTAAAAACAATCCAGTTTTTTTTTATTTTAAAATAAAACATAGATCACTCCTGGCATTGATATCAAGTTCGTGAAATTTTTACGCAATCTGTGCAGCTATTTCGAACAGACAGACGACAAACAAAAATATTAAAGATGGTTATTCATGCCTTTTTAGCGTGCAAATACCATAGTAAAATTGGTGTCTGTCTGTACTATGGTATTTTATTTATAGGTTACACACATCAATTTCTCAACTCTAATCAAGATTGCCTGAAGACAAAGACCGAATGACTCAGCAGTAATTATGCTTTACACATTTGCCTTTCACATTACAAATTATAGTAGCAATAAGTGTAAGTAAATAAATTAGTTTATTAAAAATACTATCTCACCTGGCTGCCAAATCCCTGTGCACGAAGTTCAGTGACTCCAGGTACTGCATCCCGGCTGCAATTTGCGTCGCAAGGTGTAACAAAGTGGACGTCGATTGTGGAGGTGCGGTCCTTAGGAATGCACACAAGTCACCCAACTCCAAATACTCCAGAACAACCGCGAGTGGGGGCGATCGGCAGGCGCCCAGCACCCGCGCTAAATGGGGCGATGATAATGCCGCTAGTATGCGCACGTCACGTTCGAACTCCTCCCTAAGTACAGAAACAAATAAATAAATGCGAGCACATTAAAACTATAAAACATGTAAAAAATATTTATAGAAGAAGATATACATAGGACGTTTCTCTTGTAATATGAAATGTATATTCTTTTTTTTATATAGAAGGGAGGGCAAACGAGCATGTGGCTCACCTAATGCTAAGTGACTACCGCCGCTCATAAATAACTGCAACACCAAGGGAATTGCAGGTAAATGATTCCACAGAGAGGCCGTACGAGGAAAACTGTCCAGAAGACCACTGTCACTGTCATTTAAATCGTCCAGACTGAACACAGAGTGATACATAGGCTGCACTAAAAGTATCGGGAATGGAATATTTCCACTGTTCCTGTCATATTAAAATCTTTTTAAATGAAAAGTGCTTGGTTTTTTAAAATTGAATACCATTTATTTATTTAAAAAAAGATTCTCGGTCTTGTCACAAGGTTTTGTCAAACTTGTTTAGTCGTTGAGAAAATGGAATTGACTCGAGAAAATTCAAGAGCGATGATTTATTATGACTTTCGAAGTGGTTTAACACAAAAACAGTGTGTTGACCGGATGATTTCTGCATTTGGTGATGAAGCCCCATCCAAAACCACAATTTATCGTTGGTTTGCTGAATTTCAACGTGGACGTGTTAAGCTCAGTGATGATCCCCGTCAAGGTCGTCCAAAAACTGCAGTCACCCAAGAAAACGTTGATGCTGTGCGTAAGCTGATTGAGGAAGATCGACATGTGACATACCGCGAAATTCAGGCAACTTTAGACATTGGCATGAGTCAAATACAAATAATCTTGCATGAACAATTAGGTGTAAAAAAGTTGTTTTCCCGATGGATACCGCATTCACTCTGTGAAGAGCAAAAAGCGGCTCGCGTTACTTGGTGCGTCGTAACTCTCGAAAATTTCCACGCAGGATCCTCAAATGCTGTATACAACATCGTATCAGGTGACGAATCCTGGATATACGCGTACGAACCCGAAACAAAAAACCAGTCACGAGTTTGGGTGTTCGAAAATGAGTTAAAGCCAACAAAACTTGTTCGTTCACGGAGTGTTGCAAAAAAAATGGTGGCCACGTTTGTCTCCAAAACCGGCCATGTTACGACTATTCCTCTTGAGGGACAAAGAACGGTTAATGCAGAATGGTATGCTAGCATTTGTTTGCCATAGGTTGTTTCTGAACTCCGTAAAGAGAACTGCAACCGCCACATCATCCTCCATCACGACAATGCGAGTTCTCATACCGCACACAGAACAAGAGTTTTTGGAGCAAGAAAACATAGAATTATTAGACCATCCGCCGTACAGCCCCGACCTAAGCCCTAATGATTTCTATACTTTCCCTAAAATAAATAATAAATTGCGTGGACAGAGATTTTCATCACCTGAAGAAGCTGTGGACGCCTACAAAACGGCCATTTTGGAGACCCCAACTTCCGAATGGAATGGTTGCTGCAATGATTGGTTCCATCGTATGGAAAAATGTGTCAAATTTCGCGGAGAATACTTCGAAAAGCAATAAATACATTTTTAAATAGTAATGTTGTGTCACTTCCTTGATTCCCGAAATTTTCAGTGCCGCCCTCGTATACGCTTGGTTCGTGTAGTGATTACAGCAATCTTTGAAATTATCCAATTATTTTTTTTATAATATCTAAAAATGTATTGGCGATGATGAAAAATCCAAGATAGACGTCGTTTGCACTAAATATTCAAATATAATAATTCAAAATAAGCAAGAAGATTGAAAAGTGTAGACAGGACAGAGTAAAACTGCTATAAAAGTACGTCATACATGATATACCTCTCCTTGGGCGAAGCGTCGTGACACAGAAACTTGACCGCTACCAGTCTTTTCTCTGACGTTATAGTACCATTGTACTCTGGTACCCCATCGGCCTCAGCAACGTAAACCTATAAAAATTATTAAAAATATACATCCTCATTAAATGCTGTATTTGTAATAAACACTAAACAGTTATTCAAAATAACAATAAAAACATTCGATGGACTGCTTGAACGGGCTGACAAATCTGCTTGCTTTTTTTTAATATTTCCCTTTTAAATGGGGCGAATGTAGATGTGATGATATAAAACATGGATAAACAAAAGATACTTACACACAACAGATTATTACATTTTAATGTATCTTCTTATATACATACCTATCCTACCTATAATAATTAGCTAAATAACTAACAATATTTTAATATAAGTTTAGGACTATAGATTTTAATTTTTTTATTGATAATAAAAGTTAATAAAAATAAAATCTATTTGAATAATATTTTTCATAATTAGTAAACTCAAAGTTTTATTTAATATTAAATTTTAGATTTACCGTTCCGAACGCGCCTTCGGCCAGCTTCGATATCATCCTTAACCTGTGTCTCGGGAACTCAATCACATTGGTAGTTTCGAGTCGCCGTTTTAAATCGATGAGCACCTCTTGCTGGCTTTGTGACTGTAACAAAAACATTTTAAGTTTATATTCTAAGAATTAAAGTAATATCGTAACTCTTGGGCTGTGCAGTTTTTTGTAAGTCTGCCTGAGTTTTGAATATTGATATCGTTTAATTCTATGTAGTTGTATATAAGTAGTTTTCTTTTTAGATTAAAAGTCGGTCTGGGTTGCAGAATTTCACAAGCTATACAGTATGTCACTGTTGTTTTAAAATACTTCGGCGTGTTTATTACTTTATCACACTCCCACTATGATCCAACGCTAACGAGTCTTGCGTTCCGATATCGATAGACCGTATTTTGTTGTACGATACTTAGAAAAATAGCAAAAAGGGACGGTTATGTTTTTCCATCAGTGATTTGGGAATATTGCTCCTTCGTGATCAGTGAATGCAAGTAAAAGATGTTGTACTTGTTCATCGGCGGCGATCGAGACTTACCATCAGGTGAGTCGCATGCTCGTTTGTTTCACTTTAATAAAAAAAAATGATTCCACAAAAATTCAAATTGATCTGCGGTACGCGTGGCTTACCAAAAGCGCTGCGAACGAGTTCAGTTCGAATACCGTGACTATCATAATACTGAATAATTATAATACGCCTCTGTCCCTGACGACTAGTGACAAGCACAATGGCGACAAATAATAAACGCTGTATCACGTACATATATGATATATGACAATTGAAACTACAAAACTGCTTCCAGAGTCGTAATAAAATATAATAAACTGTTAGCTAATTAGCGGTGTATGAGTTTGTCTAAACTATGTAGTGGCGTTGTAAAAATATCCACTACCCTATATAACCTATGGGTGTCGTAACAAGTGACAGAAGGAAAGAATTCAGATGGGTAGCAGCATCTACCTAATAACGACAAAAAATTTAAAAACGCGGTTGCCAACCCGCTTGCCAAGGATGGCAACTATGGCAAATATCCTCCCTATAAGACAATCTATGAAGGAGGCCTATGTTCAGTAGTGTACAATAACAGGCTACAACGGCATACCGTTATAGCCTGTTATAGTACACTATATATAACATAATATGAGTTTGTCTAAACCATTGTGCTGTGATGCGCGTTTAATTCTTATAAGGCAAAGATTTTTGCCTTCTCCGCTGCATGCATATTTGTCCAGCACGAATATGATATCAATAAACGATTAGCCGATGAAGATCTAATTCAATAACATGCCTTTCATATTATTGAAAAATATTATATGGTTATCGCTTAAAAAAACGAGAACTCGAACGTCAAAGTTTTTTTCCCAGGAATTAATTATACGTTTTTTATTTCGATCCACACTTTTTTTATAGGATAAGGCTGACAAACGAGCACACAGTCCACCTGATGGTAAGTGGTTGCTGCGGCCCATGGACATCTACATCTATTCTCTGTTACAAATCAAAATGTAGATGCGTTGTCACCCGTGAGGACTAAGATGGAATGCCTCATTTCCAGTAAAAAGGGTCTCCGGCCACCTACACTCACCAAGCGAAACGCAGAGGTAAACCTCTATTTCACGCTGGTATTCTGTGAGGTCGTGGTACCACCCCGGTTCGAGCCGACCCATTCGTGCGACAGCAAAAGCTGCCGCGTGGCTCTACCACTGTTACACAACACTACCTAATAACGCGAAACGTTATTAGGTAGTGTTTTATTCTCGACACGTCAAGGTCAGAAAACACTAATTAATCAATCTTATATTTTCTAAAAAATAATCTGATATTACTACTTTTAAAAAAAACGTTTGAAAAAATTTAACGTGGGTGTCCGGATGTTGATTTTGTATGTGGTCACGGTAATTCCTGAAAAAATTAATGTATCGAGACAGAGTTTTTTTTTTTAATTAGTTTCAGAGTTCAGAATTACATCAATTGTTGCCTCATTTCATAGTACTAGTACTAGTTCGTACTCGTAGTTTGTTAGTAAAATGATTTTCAATTTTTATAAGTTTTATTGTTATTAAAAATTTAAAGGCATTTTCTTAATTTTTTAGCCCTTGATAGACACAGGAAAAATGTACCATACAGTCTATATCGATTTTATAGTTTGTGTAATAGATTTATTTTGGTAAACATTATTATTTTTCCCCTGCAGGTGACACTACCTGTTAAAATAATAGAGCGCTAATTTTAAAACATGTAAATAACATATTTTAAAAGGCAGGAATACAATTTTTTTTAATCAAAATTAAATGAAACGCTCATGAGGCGTGCTTTTTTGAATTTTCCAAATTATTTTAAATATCCATTCGATTAAGAATTTCATTGATTATTATTTTTTTCATATTTTTATTTTCAAAATATCAATTTAGCGCGTCAAAATCGTGTCTAAAATACGATGTTTTGTCCAATCAAAATTCTCTCAATTTACATTTACTCTTCGTGATACGAGTAGCAGTGATATTTTTATCGTGCCAATCGCAGTGATTTTGTGAGTGTGACGTTATTTTTTGCTTCAGTATCACTTACCCTAGCGCTGTGCTTGGATCGTATTGAGGCGGGCGCGGAGCGGCGAGCGTCGAGCTCGAGGTCGGGTCGCTCGCCGAGCAGCTCGGTGGCGCGCCCCGACAAGCTGTCGCCGGGCCGCCGCTTCGTCAGCAGCGGCGCCGAACTCAGCTCCGGCACCGCGTAGTCGTAATTTGAACTGTCTGCGCACGAGATAAAGTTCATAATTCAACGATGCGTACGTGTAAATGATTTTTACGCGGTAGAACCATGCTGCAACTAACTATATTATGATTGTATCACGAATGGGTCGGTTCGACCGGGGAAGGACCACGCTCTCACAGAATACCAGCGTAATATAGCAGATCAATGCTGTTGTGTTTCGTATGGTGAGTGTGCAGAACCGGAGACCCTTTTTACTAGAAACTGGGCATTTCATCTTAGTCCTCAGGGGTGAACACATCTGGATTTTGCTTCTTAATCAAGGATAAATGTATATGTCTATGTGCCACAGCATCCACTTACCATCATGTGAGCTGTGTGCGCGTTTGTCTCCCTTATTTTATTTTAAAAAATCGTTTTATTACCAACATTGAATCAAATACTAGTTCAGGCATTAGTGTCATTGGTGACAATATTGTATGCACAAAAAAATGTCAGTTTTTATTTGCATACTAGCTGTTCCCCGCGACTTGGCCCACGTGTAATTTAAGGTTTTAATCATGGTGCGCGGAACCCTAATTCTTCTACTCATATATCATCATTTCATTAAAGTAACCATCATTTCAACAACTCAGCCGCCGACGATGCAAATATAACTTGATCATCGGCGTACAAAAGGCATTTGACGGTTAACTCACCCATTTTCAACCCACATTCTTCAACTTTCAAAGTTTGCAAACAACTGTCCATAAATAGGTTAAATAGCCACGGGGAAGCTACACAGCCTTGTCTGACACCTTTTTGAATGGCAAACCAGTCCGAGTAAACCCCGTTAATCCTGACACAAGCACTAGAGTCCCTATAAAGAGACCTTAATGTCTGTATCAAACCAGCGCTCAACCCAAATGAGTTCAGTGTTTGCCATAACACATTCCTGTCCACTCTGTCATAAGACTTTTCCAAGTCCATGAACGCACAAAAAACTTTCTGGTTTTTGGCCAAAAACTTCTCCGCAATCATGCGCATGGAAAAGACTTCATCCGTACACCCCATGCCCTTTCTAAATCCAGCTTGCACATCCCAATTTTTCCATCTGTTTCTTCCATAACTGTTTCAATTAACACCTTAGCATACAGTTTACCCACAATGCTAAGCAAGCTGATACCACAGTAGTTTTTACAGTCCTGCTGTGACCCCTTTCCCTTATATATTGGGACTATAACGGCTTTGCACCAGTCTTCCGGTACCCGTTTCAGTTCCCAACATAAATTAAACGAGGTGTACAGCAGGCCTGCAACCACACCCCCTCCAGCCCTTAGCATTTCGAGTGATACTCTATCATATCCCGCTGCCTTACCTGCTTTCATGCTTTTCAATGCTTTCATTATTTCATCTACAATTATCTCCCTACCTCTCTCCACTTCTTTCGGAATTTCTATTTAGTAAAAAGCTGTTATTTTAACATTACAAACAGACACTTCAATTTTATTTATTTGTATAGATATTACAATATAAGTATTACTGTGGGGCTCAATATGCGAGGGACTTAGCGTAAAAATACATGTAAGTGTAAATTATTGTTACTTTTCTTCTAACGTCATTTTATAACTTACGTCGTAACATCAAAACTATTTGTATATATAGTATTGCATACAAGACACGATTGTTTATATAATACATCATTGATTGTTGATGTGATGTTTTGAGTAATTATGATGGAATTAACAGGATATTATTATAAATTATAAGCGGACTTCAATTGTCATTGGATCTAGTTGAAACAAAATAAAATTATGGGAGGAACGAGAGAACGAGAAGTATAGTGCCACCAACTTATCTGTTCAGGTGGACAAAATTGGAACTGAAGCCGCCATTTTGTAAATGACATTTCGCTGTCAACTATTATTTATTCTGAGCTATCAGGTGAGTGTTTTAAAAAGTGTAAATAAAATGCCTAAGGGTCTTAAAAGTGATGCGCGATAGATTATTCTAAAAGTTTTATCTTTTATGAAAGAAGAGAAACATGTACAAGTCCCAAGTATACCATTTGAAAAGCTGTATGAACGCGTTCCTGCCGCGACAGGTTAGTATTGCCAGATATGGAAAATTAAAATCACCAAATAATGAACTTGTGAAACATAGTAAAAAAAATATCTCTATTTACTGCAATTCATCTAAAGCACCTAGCTTTGTAGTTTGTGTTGCTAATGTGCAATAATGCAATAATCCCCAATTAATTGAAGATTCATTCCATAAAATTACACCGGTGCAGTGGAAAACATTTGTAATCATGTAAAAAAAATTGAAAAATAATACAGACTAAAAGACGCGTATTTAAATGAACCATTTATTATAGAGTGTCAGAGCGACAGTGAAAGCGATTCCAGTGACTTAGAAGATGAATCATTGGAACCAGTAACTAACGCGGGTACATTTTTCAAAACAGAAACTCTTGGAATTCGGCCGCTTGAACTCCGAGATCGCGACCACAATTATTTTTATAAAATATAAATAATATATATAATAACACTAATTCTCACTAATTTTAATATATTAACACGAAATTTGTTTTATTTTATATTATGTGTAATGAATATGTAGTTACCTATTTCCTCGGTGAATTTCTTAAATGGCAATAGTATGCACTCCACTAGCGACGCTGTCAACTGAACAGATAAGTTGGTGGCACTATAATATCGGAAATATCGTGTTACATAAATATAATAAAACTGAATAAATGGTCTCCTTTAGAAAGTCAGTTACTGACAAAAGCGAATTGATGGAACAATATTTATATACATCTAATAAAAATGGGTAAAAACCTGTCCTTAAATTTTTTCGTGCTTCAAAAAAAAAGACTATCGGCTATAATCGTCTTTGTAGAGCATAGTCTCTGTCCTAGATATTTGCCTGTTTGTAATTTGACTAATAGGCCAATATTCATTAAATATCAAAAGATTTATAACCATCGCATATTTAGAAAATGAATATACCTACTTTTATAAAATACAGATTTACCAACTCATATATATATATTATACACTCTATATATATATCGCGGTCTAGTACCATAGAGTTGTGGTGTGCGTGACAATGACAAGCCCTTGCATAATCAAACCAAACATTGCACAAAACTTACCTGATAAAGCTGTGCTGGAGTCCTTAACAAAGTCTTTCATCTCGAGCAACACTGTACTATAACTAAAGTATGGCGCGCACTTGAGCGCCTGATACGGCTCCTGATATTCATCCGACTTGACATCTAAAGCGCAGTCTATTATCATCTTGTTCTCGGGCGGCAGTGAAGTGCCGCAAGGATTATAATTGTCTGCGACTGTTCGCTTTTGGGAAATGGTCGACTTCGCCAGCGGGGACGCAAAGCACTTTCTGTGTCGGTGCCTGTGCACTATGAGAAAGACGGCCACAGCCAGTAATATCACCAGAGCTGTTAGTACCCCCACAATAATGGCCATGTACAGTGGGTCTTCTTGATGTGCGGTTGATATTGGCACATCTTTGCTGGTGGTCAGTTTCGTTTTGTCCTTTCCACCTAATGGTTTAAGGCTCTCCGGTGTATAATTGCCTTGTGCAACATCTGAAAAAAAATTAGCTAATTAGCTGATATAAAATTAATCTCAGTGGTAGGCCTCGTTGCCATCCGTCTCAGTTGGTAGCACCGCTAGCTCTGATGTGGCATTTCTGCCACAAAGCAACAGTGTGTATCCACTGCGATGTTCTCATTTAAATAGGAAGAGGGCGTACAAAATAAAAGCTTTGAGGAATTTTATCACACAATCAATGACAGATAACATTGATCTTGCCAACTTTGTTTGAAGTTCATGAGTCGCGGTGGCAACTTACCATCTAGAAGACTTAAATCATTTCTCAGCAATAACATTAATCGAAAGCCATATTAATTTTATTTGGACAATGAAACTATGATGACCTTTCTTGATTGACTAAATAAAAATTAAATACAAATATTCCTCTACTACTATTGATCAATCTAAAGATGATGATAGCCTAAAAAACTCAAAAGTGAACGGTGCTAATTTGTTACAGGACCGGTTTGTATTAAATTATAATAAAATATTTCCGTAAGCTGTTTGCCAGTACACTTTAATGAACTTAGCAAAAATCGAGAAAATAGTCAAATTTTAGATAAGTACTAAAAATTACAAAATATCTCTAGAAGACAATGCAAAAAACTCTTACCGGAATCGAACACCACCTCGCTGATGAGTATCCAGCTAGCCGCAAAACGTAGCTCAATGCGCACCCACTTTCCGATCCGATGGTGCAGTTTTATACTGACGTTACGCGAGTTCTCGAATATGCTATCTTCTACGTAAGTATAGCGTATCGGCTCGTCTTGAAAATGTCGGCCCCCGATGGAGAAGGATATTATCGCTTCGGAAAATACCTGGGGAATATATATTAATATATATTTGAATTGTACATTACAAAAATGTATAAAAAATATGGAGGTCTGATATCAGGTTTTAACCTTCTTGTAAATGTATCTTTTTGTGGATACAGGAGCAGCTAGCTCCTGCCTTCAGATACTATCGTAATCGACTGTTGTTGGCTGCCGTCAAAATCTCCCAAAATCTTTACAATGTGACGCATCATTATTTCAATTATACAATAATACTAGACCATTAGAAAAGGAAAAAAAAACTACAGTTCATAATAATCTATCTAGTTAATGCTTAACTCACCTGAACGTCGCGCATAAATCGATTGTTGCAGTACAAATGAACGGCGCTGAACTCTCGCACTTTGTCGAACTCGAAAGTAATAACGGGAGGGTTGGGCCTTAACTCCTTTTTCCAGCCGACCCAGGCGGAGTTGCGAGCCGCCTCCCGGATTTCATCACCACCGTATTGACCGTCCACCAACTGACCCAAGCCACCTCTGAGTTCCTCGCCCCATTGGCCATCGTATATCATGTCAGTCAACTCGATTCCGTTGCTACGCTTGTCTCCTTTCGGCATTGAGTACGCAACAATACCCACTGCGGACAATAATTTTACAGTTAACATATAGTAGTTGTAGGGAACTTAATTTCCTGTCGTCTCATAAACAAGAAACCCTAAACGCGTCTCAAAAATGCGACAAGACTTTTGCTCTACATTGGGTGTTACTTTGAGGCTGTACATACCTAAAAAAGGAAATATTTGGCAAGTGTAAGCATTGCTTTCTTATTTTCAAAATGTATTCATATTTTTAAGAAGTATAATTTTTTAGTAATAGAAGCGGGGACTGACATTATAATTGTTTATTACCCTGAAAGATGTAATGTTTATTTCAAAAGAACACATTATAATATATTTAAGTTCTTAAAATGTTGTTTAAATTCGTGTTTCCAAAAGCGTTCATTTGAGGCCCTAGTTAATATATTTTTTAAAAAAAACCGATAATACTGAATATTTTATCCCTGTGTTAATTTCAAGTTGTTGTTATCTTAACATTAAACGTTCCAGAATTCTTAAACCATAAAAGTGTTTTCTTGTGAGAACATTTGTCCAGTAAGTTTGTGATTGAAATGTTTAGGTCTGCATGTTAGTTACCACAAGGTTTTCTCGGGTTAATTTATTTTGATAATAGAAAATTATTATTAAATACAGGATATTTTACATAAAACTATATTATTATTATATGTCTCTTTCTGAGTTTTCTCTTCTGCTTAGCCGAAGAAATGTACAATTATATTACTTAATAGTTAGTAATTTGTAATGATTTTAAAAAACACGTGAGCAAAGCCGCAGATAAAAACAAGTGCAAAGGCAACAAAAATCCTTTAATAAAAGTAACTAACAAACAAGACTAATATCATTTTTATTGTATTGTATAGCATGTATTTTGTTAAGATATCAATGGTAATTAAGTGTATCACAGAATGTATCGCATTACTTTGTATTGTCATTTGCCAGTATGCCGGCAACCGATGCGAACAACTTGCAATATTTTAAGAACCAGAGGAAATGTATGCAAATGCAAAGCCCATTTTCAATTGCCACTGTGACCACGTAGAATTAAGTACACCTCTACAAAGCGTACACGCAATTTTTAAAAAGCCGTGTCCAAACTCCATAATGATGCGGCATTGCTTACTCATCTTTACAATTGTAGGGTTGTCAAGTGCGGTTGTAGGGTTGTCAAGTGAGCAGAACTTAACTAGTTCTTTAGTTTTCTTTTATAACGGCCTAACGCAGTAGCGCTGCAGCGCACATATATACACAAACAATATCAGCCGAGAATAACTGGGACAGAATAATCTTATGACATAGAATAATCTTTTATAAAAACAGCAGTGTAAGAAATTTATCAATAAATATTATGGTGACACTTGAAAGTTTTAGAATTGGCAAAATATAAGAATGCAAATTAAAAAAAATATTACTTTAAAATTGGAATTTAATTTGTTTTTCATTTGCTTTTATAAATTGGTGGTAATTTGAAAAGCGTAAACAGTCAAATACATATATGTATTTCAATACGGTGACTTTAGAGGTTTACATAGTCCCGATTTGGCAACTTACGAACCCCATTGAATCCTAAAAATAAGTACTACTAAACTAAGTACTCAGGTTATGAACCCTGAAGATGTGACTGTGTTCGTAAAAAGACTAGCAAGGTATTGCTTCCTTCGTGGTTCGACCGAATACAACAGTGCATAGCCAGTAATTGACATTAATTTGAAAAACAATAAAAGTATACAACAACTTCTTATTAAACGCATAATCTTACAGCTGCAATTATAATTTATTTAGATTTTCTTTACCGTGTTTTTAACTTTAAACTAATATTCCTATACTTTTGGTTGCGTTTCACGTAGTCCGTTACCTAACACAGTAAATCGCTGCCTCAGAGATCAAAATTAAATAATTACAGAGACGTATTCTTTCTTTATTCCTTCTCTTTTGATCTGGCAGCCCTTAACAAGTGACAGAAGAATAAAAGCTTCCACACAGTATAATTTTATAAGGCGAAGGTAAGTACAATGCATTTTTTATTTATTATTCTAAACGCGTTAGTACAATAGAGCCGACACCTGGCCGGTGCTTTTACAAATTCACACATGCGCCGGGAAATTGTTTACACGATGCGACTGTGTGTGGGTCGCGATTGTTCGTTTATCTGAGGAAATATTATCGATTGTTGGAGACGGGTAATGGATGTTACAATTGACGTTAATACTTTGTTTTATGATCTATCTAATGTATAATCGCCTTCATTAAATATAGGACACGTTCTTATGAAGAAAATGAGTGCATAACGTTAGCAAAACAATTTAAGTTTAACTATACTAAACCATAACTTTTAAATGTCAGTTTTAATGTTAATCAGCAAACATTTCCATATACTAATGCAACCTTATTTTATACAACAAAATACAGAAAAAGAAGATTACAGGAACTATCGATTATTAGTAAAACTGATGTCTCAATAAAAACTATTTGGGTTGCATACTACATTGTTTCAATAATAACACGAATAACCCAAAGAACGACGTCTTTAATCATGCAATGGCTTAATTATGACCCTTATCTAGCCATGTTAGATTTTAAAATATAGTGCACATGCGAGTTTTTAGTATATTTCTATGGAAAGCCGAATGGAAAAAGTAAACAATCGCCTGTATAAACGTAGACGTATGATTAAAACAGGGCAATTTGCTGCTTTTTACGTTAATACTAAAGCCTTGCATGCCGCGATTTCCAGCGATAGCTTTCTTGGAATTACAGACAAATTAGCATTAAAACCTCCATAATACCGACTTAAAAAAATTTGTTTTCATAATACGTATTTAAAAAATCCTTGAATTTCATAAATGCGCCTACGTACTTCTAGAATTCAGGCGAAAGATTTTAGCGTAAGACATACGCTTTTTATGTGAGATCACCGATCCGTAGCTTTAAATAGAAAAATATCAGACGTTCCTCGTTTAGGTTGACTCGGTTTAATATTATGTGTGAAATGACTTCATGTTTCATCATCTTGCGATATGTTGGATTATATTCATACATTTACACATACTTACGTAGGCTAGAGACCAGATATTCATTTATTTTATTTAGTTTGTTATATACAAGAACACGTGTCATTGATTCATTAATTTCTAGTGACAAGTTTACGTATTTGCCTAATCGTCGTTCAAAGCAATATTAGAATTTGAATATAGCAGCTTTTCTAAAACTATAAGGATGTGTGGAATAATATATGCAAGTGATGTCTTAATCGCCACATTTTGCGGACGGATCGAAACAGAAGAGTCACCGATCTGTATTTCTTATTATCAAACATATTTGATATAAGTGTTTACTTCGTCATTTTTAAATGACATAGTATTTAATAACTGTGCGCCGAAATTGCATAATTTAATTCCTCCCTCTCCATTCCACCATCGAACAACCAGACGTTCGGCCAGTGTCCACCCTTTCGTTGCTGACTTACCACCACGCATTCGAACTAAACGGTTTGCTACAAGATTATTCATGCGTACAGCAAAGGAGGGGCAAAAGTTGCCAGCATATGTCTTTCCATTCTATTACAATGTGGGTGTCTTCAAGGCAAGTGAATAGGCTTTTGTTAAGTCAGTGCGCTTCGCCATCTTAGTCTACACACCACTTACTATCAGTGGAATCGTAATTAAGCGCTGGCTTAGAATAATAAAAAAAAAAACAAGTTTTCCTTAAATCTACTTTTACATTAAAGATACGATTAATTAACTTATAGTATAGTTACTACCTAGATGGATTGTTCGTGTGCGTCATTAATGAATTAAAGATATAAAACCAAAAACAAGAAAGAATCTCACCGCTCCAGTAGCAGCCATAGAGTTCAACCCTCATACAAACAGTGCGCCGGTGAGAACTATATGGGATGAAGCGAATCTTTGAAGCCCATATCGGTGGTTCCAAGTGGTTTTTCTTTTCCAAATACGTGTTTGTATTTCCCGAAAGTATCTGTAATAAAATGCTTCTTGTTCTTATTTCAAAATACATACGAGAATGAAGTTAAAAACTCAAACCCAAATTAAACAAGAAACGCCGTTTTATTTTTTAACAAAGCAGAGCCACGCTGCATCTCTATTATTGTTACAGCACGAATGGGTCGTTTTGAACAGGGAACAGGGAAGGACCGCGCTCTCACAGAATAACAGCGTGAAATAGCAGCATATTGCTGCTGTTTCGAGGCATTCAATCTTAATTCTCAGGGATGATAAATCTTTTACATTCCGAGGATAGATGTATGTTATATATATATATATATATATATATATTATGCAACAGCATATATATATATATATATATACTAGCTGGCTAGGCAGACGTTGTTCTGCCCTTTCCGATGACCCTTTGTCCTATAAAAACCCGTAAATTCGCAATAAAAAATTTTGATGGTCACTTATCAGGATAAAAACTATCCTATCTCTCAAGTTGGATCAAACAGCGCACAGTGTGCAAAGTTTCATTGAAATCAGTTCAGTAGTTTAGGAGTTCATCGCGGACAAACAACGTGTCACGTAATTTTTATATAAAAAGATGTAAATGGGACTTGGTAAAATTATGTTAAACAGCCACATTTAATTCTTAGCAGAGTGCTTTAGTATTAATTTGTGTTCATTAAATTCCTTTTCGGTAGCACTGAGTTTTCACAACAAGCCGCCTTGTTGGATTTTAGTGACGTCATAAAGCCCGTGTAAGAGCATGATGCTTCTAAAAATACGTCAAGAAATTATAGGATCTGAGGGAACAGATGAACATACATAAAAACATAGCCTGCTAAAATCATAACCCTCTTTAGACTTCACCGTAGTCGGATAAAAACCGTACCGTATTCGTAGTACGTTTATAAAAGAAAAGTTTATATTTGCCAACTCGGCATGAAATACATGTAAAAGTTTCTAGTTTCCTTGCGTAAGTTTCACAGCCTTCCAAAACGTATTCATCGAAGTTTAAGCTTTCTGCATAAAAGTTTGCCTGAGTTACATCCACTGGCTGTACTGTACCGACTAATATGTACGTATAATATTTGTGGCTGTAATAAGAATATGAAAGTAAAGAATATATATAAAAATTAGCTGGCCCGGTATACGTTAATTTGCCCTTACTGGTTGGTGGCGTGATGAGTTTAATTTTCACACTGACACTTTTATATAGACTTTTTATACGTATAGCTAAATCCTCTTTAGGACTAACAGAGCCATCAGCAGCCATAATGACAATAAACATAACCCCTTTTTACTCTTCCGTAAGCGGATAAGAAATTGCCTATATGTTATACACGGCCATTTCTGCCTACATACTAAATTTCATGGAAATTCGGTCAGTAGTTTTTGCATGAATCGTGAACACACAATTCTTCTACAGATTTATTATATGTATAGATATAGATATGTTACAGTTCTAAATTGTAAGTCCAACTTCGACCGAGAGGTCAATCGAAGGATTAAACTCGGCTGGGCAGCGTTCGGGAAACTACGACGCATCTTCTCGTTAGACATACGTCAAAGCCTTAAAACCTTAAATTGTACAACCAGTGCGTGTTACCAGTGATGACTTACCGATCTGAGACGTGGTCCTTCACTTCTGGCCGTATGAGGAAGCTCAAGGTCGCTCAGCGAGCTATGGAGAGGGCTATGCTCGGGGTTTCTCTGCGTGATAAACTTAGAAATGAGGATATCCGCAGTAGAACCAGAGTAACCGACATAGCCCAACGGATTAGTAAGCTGAAGTGGCAATGGGCCGGCCATATAGCTCGAAGTGTAGGGCGACCTCCCACTAGATGGAGTGACGACCTGGTAAGACAAGCAGGAAGTCGATGGATGCAGGTGGCTCAGGACCGTGCTTTGTGGCATTCCTTGGGGGAGGCCTATGTTTAGCAGTGGACTTATGAAAGGCTGTAATGATGATGATGATGATGATATACCTAAGGTAACCTAATATTAGGGTTAGATTTCGTTGATAGGCTTAAAATGTAAGATTAAAAAGTGTAGATAACATTATATATATATATATATATATATATATATATATATATATATATATATATATATATATATATATATATATATATATATTTAAAAAAAATACTAGTAATGCTATTAAAACATTACTAATATTCCCTTTAACCACTTCTTGTTAGTGTTAGAAGTGGTTCACGATAGAAGTCCAATGGCGGATTCGAACCCACGACCTTTTTCGACATCGCGGTCCGCGCCCTGCGATTAGGCTACTGATGCTTCATTTTTATAACATGCAAATATATAATATTTCCATCTTATTAAATATATGTCATCGTTAGCTTAATACGTACCTCTTGTCCGTCGGCTGCCCTATAGCGCACCCACTTGCCCAGCTTTGGGCGCCAGTACTCGAGCACGTAAGCCTCGGCGTATTCTTGGCCCTGGCCATTGCCGAAGCGGCCCTGCGTACCGGTACCGGTGATCACGTGTACCGAGTGCAGGTCCACCTCCAACCATTCCGTGGACTCTGTTGTTATTTGAGACTTGGGACACCACGCGCCGCCTTTTATATCTCGGTTTAACCTGCGCAAAGGAGTTATTTTTATCTCATCAGGCAGCGATAATGTACACCTCTAAGTTTTGAAAAACTAAACTTGCCAACAACCCGCATGCCAAGCGTGACAACTACGACACATAATCCCCTATAAGACAATGTATGATGGAGGCCTATGTTCATCAGTAGACTTTAAGAGGCTGTAACGGTAACGGTTACATCCATTTTTATTTTTAGTCATCAGGAAGACGCTGCTGCCCATCTCCTGTATTGTTTCCCTCTGTCGCCTCTTACGTATATGGGGTAGTGGGGATATATAATATGGAAGTGATAAATAAATGTGAATTATCAGAAAAACGCTAAAAACAATTAAAATATCTATAGAAAGTTTTAAAGCGGTTGTAATAGCCTGTGTTTAATGAAGCGTATGGTGTAGTGGCAGTGTAAGCGATATTTAATCATATTACGTCACATGGGTGACGTAAGAGGCGATAATGGGAAATTCTAGAAACTTCTCACGGCTTCCGACAGAGGGTCTTATAACAATCGTGCTTATGCCCGGCGTAAATACACTGACCGGTAACTGGAAATGCCTCTTTAGAGACGCCTCGTAAAACCTTCGTCATTCCTCCGAATACGCATCCGTTTAGACGAAATGCGCTGATAAATTCTCTTGCTACACGGCCAGTAACTAATTATTACAGCTTATTATATTAAGGGGCCTAGATATCAGAATATTCATTCAAAAATTGATCTATAGCTTCTTTCTTTGTTATGTTACACGGTAGAGCCGTGCTGCAGCTTTGTTGTGATTTTAGCACGAATGAGTCTGCTCGACCGGGGAAGGACCACTATTTCACAGAATACCAGCATGAAATAGCAGATGCTGCTGTGTTTCATATGGTGAGTGTAGTGAACCGGAGACCCTTTTCACTGGAAACAAGGATTCCATCTTAGTCCACAGGGGCGACAACGCATCTGCATTTTGATTCTTAGTAGAGGATAGATGTATATGTCTATGGGCCACAACATCTACTTACTATCAGGTGGACTGTGCGCACGATTGTCACCCTTATTCTATAAAAAAAGTTTTCTCCTATATTTAGGTAAAGTCTCATGTAAAATGTTGACGCTAGTGTAATATTACACACACAGTCACACATTCGTGATACCTGGGCGTATGTATAGCCCAATGTTAGGTCTGGATTGGGGACACGTAATATTTTTGTTATTGTGCGAAGAAGAACAATGCATGTTAAAATTATGAAAAATGTTGTAGTTGTCCACAGCAGCGTAAATATATATTACTTTGCTAAAAACGATAAATTTCAGTTGATTTTCCTAGTAATTTATTAGCAAAAGACGAAATAATATGTAATTTACCATTAATTTTTTTTTCTTCAAATTAGATATTCAACAAAATAGATTAATAATATTTATTTCCTATTCCTTCGATATTTTCGATTGTTTACGCAATAAACACAACAGCAAACATTAATATTCTCTTCAAGATTCCATAGTTTAATTTTAATAAGTACCTACGTAGTTTACTTTTTAGATAACGATTGGCAACCTGTCTCTATCGATCTATAATGTATCAAATGAAAGATTTTAATAAACTAGCCGAGTTTTAAAGCAACGTATGTACTACCACGCAAACTATTAATATCAACATTACGTTTCAAGTTAATAAATTTCCTGCATTTTCTTTTCAGTTTTTTTTTTAATATATAAATATTTTCTATATAAAGAGAAAACTCGATATCTATTAAAGGATAATAAAAATTTAATAAAATAATTGCCCCTAGATAGATCGTGTTTAATGTTCATGTCACACTTATGCCGGTAGTTAATAAGTCCAACTTAGACTCGAGAGATCAATCGACGAATTCAACACGGCTGGGCAGCGTCCGGGAAATTCCGACACATCTTCTCGTCAGGTATATCTCAAAACATGAAAACGAGATTGTACAACCAGTGCGTGTTGCCAGTGATGACTTATGGAACTGAGATGTGGTCCTTCAGTGCTGGCCGTATGAGGCCACTCAAGGTCGCTCAGCAAGCTATGGAAAGGGCTATGCTCGGGGTTTCTCTGCATGATAAACTTCGAAATGAGGATATCCGCAGTAGAAGCAGAATAACCGACATAGCCCAACGGATCAGTAAGCTGAAGTGGCAATGGGCCGGCCATATAGCTAGAAGAACTGACAACCGATGAGGAGGAAAGGTTCTTGAGTGGCAGCCTGCGATTCCCCTGGTGTTGCAGTTGTTCATGGGCGGCGGTAGTCACTTACTATCAGGTGAGCCGCATGCTCGTTTGCCCCCTCTCCTATAAAAAAAAAATCGGCAGGCGAAGTGTAGGGCGACCCCCCACTAGATGGAGTGAAGACCTGGTAAAGCATGCAGAAAGTCGATGGATGCAGGTGGCTTAGAACCGTGCTTTATGGCATTCCTTGGGGGAGGCCTATGTTCAGCAGTGGACTTATTAAGGGCTGTAATGATGACGATGATGATGAAGGTAGATAGAACATGTTTTCATCATAAAAGATTATACTTTTTGTTCATTGTCATTTGCGAGTTATAGCCTATTAGTAGACACTTCATAAAAGTTAACTAACGGTCCGCCCAAACTGCGCAAAGGTGATTTCTGGATCTCGACAACATCGCCACCTCTAGGGTCCAATTATGTAGCTAAACCATCTAGGGACCGTTCAAACACACACAAAATTTCCATCAAAATCAGTTAAGACGTTTTTGAGTTTTACAGCAATTGATATTTATTGAGAGATATTTTTTTATTTTTAACTCTCCCACACTGCCCTTTGTCGGTGGAAATTCATAAAATCCGTTCTTGTTAATTTTTAATATGCCAAAAAGAACATTCTGGCCAAGTTTTATACTTATAAGAGCTATAGTTTGAAAGTGTGATTTTTTTTATCTAACGCCCCGCAACCTCCCTTGCGGGTTGAATTTCGTAAAATCTTAGGTGACCTCTACTCGGCGAAAGGAATATTCATACCATAATAGTAAGTCTCTAGGCCTTATGGTTCCAGAGTTATCGTTATGAGTCAGTACATAGGTGGTAATCTAATATTATATATATATATATATATATATATATATATATATATATATATATATATATAAATAAATAAAATTATTACAAATTCACACCATAAAAGGCTCCGTAATCGTATCAACCGTAAACTCTTGTAAGCTAAATAGTGGTCGCTAAAATTCTTAGCAAATGTTTAATATAATATAGTTCACGTTTAAAAAAAAATTTGTTGCATTAATATGATTACATTCACCACAAGAAAATCAACTGTTATTTTACTTATCAATACACAGATGAAACATGATTCGAGTTGATAATAATACGTTTTCAGTGTTTTATTAGTGCATTCACTTATGTATCACGAAATGTCTGCACCCGCTTCGCCCAATCAAATTTGTAGATGGCCGGCCATTAAGGCTTATTGGTGCGAGACTGGAACATCGGAGCTATCAGTGATGCGTTAAGAAACAGCTTTTGTAATTGATATCATTATTTGAGTAGGAAACATTCCTTTAATGCATATAAAGCATGAAGAAGGATGATGACGTGAACGACATTTTGGAAATTGTATCCATTGTGAGCTCAAAACTCACACAATTAATGTTTGTCGTGATCTCATAACTTTAACCGAAAGTGAAATAATATCTTTACTGTTTTCAACTAGAGAGTTATTATATATAAACTACCTATGTATATTGTTTGTTTAATAAAAGAATGTTATATTGCAATACAATTGTTACAAAATTGCTGTTGCTATCTCCAAGCTAAACAAAGATTCAGATTCTATTTCGGAGTGGTCTTTGAGACATGGTCTGCTACTGAACCCCTCAAAGAGTGTTACCATTACATTTGGAACAAAGCACCAGGTAAAAATGATTAATGAACGGAAGCCTGATGTTAAGATCTTTGACACCGTCATACCTTACAAGGGTTGTGTTCGCAATTTAGGTCTCCTCATGGATGAGAATTTAAAAGAAGGATGCCCATTTTTCACCTGACTATGTATAGAAATGAAATAAATCTTAAAATTCAGCTGATTGAATTCTTAATTAAATACGCGTATCACAATGTTAAAAGAAACGCAGGAGAAAAATATTTTTAATATTTATTTATGCTTATTCTACGTCAAGGGTAAACTTATTACCACCTTATTTTGAACGCATCTCAACTACCCTTTTTCTAAGATGTTCCATTTCACATACTTCGCATTTCGCTACTTGACTTAATTGAACTCTGTTTCTGAGTTTAAAAAATTTAATTTTTTTTAATCAGTAAGTATTTCTCTATATTCTTATATATATTCCTGTATAGTACAGATTAATTAAAATAATATAATAATTAAATAAATAAATAATGCAGTATGTCATTGAGTGCACACGAGTGAAACGGATTTTTTTGACATTTATCAGTTCTACGATTGACATCGGCGCAGTCCTTCATTGTTGCCAAAGAGAATATAATCACTTGTTGTGTTTGTGTCTCGTTGTGTATTGTCCCATTTTGTGTGTTTTTCATGGATCATATAGAATAGAAATATGTAGGGATACACAAGATTTTTCTCAGTATAATCTCAGAGGAAGTGGTGATAGAACATTAAGAAGAGATAGAAAAATTAAATATTTGGTAACGACAAATCCTAACCTAAAGAGTAACATTAATATTTTTGGGCTTCGTAGCGTTTAAATCGTAAAAATGACTATATGACATTATTTTCCAAACTTACAGGAAGTTTTTCTACTATACCTTATAACTATACATAAACTTTTACTATCAGGTTTTTAAATGTATGAAAAGTGGGCACGGTTCTTTGAGCAACATGTTCGGCAAAAATCGGCAAATGCTATGGTTTTTAAAAAAAAATTGTATAAAATTCCCAAATTTCTAAAACGTGACATTAGACTGCTGCTTTGTAACAGTTTAGTACTGTGCCACCTTCATTATTATGATATTGTTTATGGTCCTTGCTTATTT